GGGCATTTGAGGACTATTGCAGGTTAGGGCGCGCTGCCACTGTGTACTGAGCGAGCTCCACATACAATGTACATGATTGTACATGTACATTAAAACCTGTAACTAAAGACCACCGTGACTAGCGACCAGCCTGGTACTACAGTAAAACCTGTAACTAAAGACCACCGTGACTAGCGACCAGCCTGGTACTACAGTAAAACCTGTAACTAAAGACCACCGTGACTAGCGACCAGCCTGGTACTACAGTAAAACCTGTAACTAAAGACCACCGTGACTAGCGACCAGCCTGGTACTACAGTAAAACCTGTAACTAAAGACCACCGTGACTAGCGACCAGCCTGGTACTACAGTAAAACCTGTAACTAAAGACCACTGTGACTAGCGACCAACCTGGTACTACAGTAAAACCTGTAACTAAAGACCACCGTGACTAGCGACCAGCCTGGTACATGTACTACAGTAAAACCTGTAACTAAAGACCACTGTGACTAGCGACCAACCTGGTACTACAGTAAAACCTGTAACTAAAGACCACCGTGACTAGCGACCAGCCTGGTACTACAGTAAAACCTGTAACTAAAGACCACTGTGACTAGCGACCAACCTGGTACTACAGTAAAACCTGTAACTAAAGACCACCGTGACTAGCGACCAACCTGGTACTGAAGACCACTTTGCCAGGCACGGAAGGTCTCACATTCATACATGGTTGGGTGGTGCAAACCTGTAACTAAGGACCACCTGCCACTAAAGACCACTTTCTCTGGCCCCAAAGGGTGGTCGTTAGTCACAGGTTTCACTGTATGTTGATTTGCGATTTAATGTGTTGATCTACGCCTGCAATTTGTCATCGCATTCTGCATTACTACACTCAGATTGCCTGTTACCCCTGGATGGTGATTTAAAAATCGATATTCATATGGGAAGTAAGTTAAAGTCGTCTTGGGGCCTTACCAAAATGTTCCATAAACTTGGAGGTTGTACACTCCGGCACGCCACGCTTGCATTGCCAGTGGTACATGTCCGTGTAGGAGGTCTTGCATCCCGCCGCCGTGACTGCGCCGTAGCATGCATCGTGCGCTTGACAGCATCGGTCTATGGGGTCCACCGGCGTGCCGGATCCGCCGACGCCGCAGTAGCAGCCGTACTTGTTGTAGCGCGCCGCCGCCGTGATGGCATTGCCCACGTTCGGTATAGCGCACGCCACCATGTGACCGAAGTTCAACAGGGAGCGCTTGCTGACGCCGTACCCAACATCTGATGACCTTTCGGGCAGAGCGTTTCCAGTCGCCTGAGCAATAAAGATTGCAGCAAACCCTAACAAGAAAAGCTGTACTGGCTGCATCTTGCCTACTCTCGCCAAGACCATACCATGTATGTACGTGGTGTGAAGAAGGACCGGCAGATTTAGGGAACCCACACAGCGTCAGAGAAGATGGAACAACCGTGGTCCCGTATCGCACTTCAGCGAAACAGAGGGAAAATAGCGCTTTTGTACTTTGGACGGATGGCCGAGGCATACAGCAGAACATGTTAGCCTTCTTGGGGCTGCAGATCGATGTCTTGCTTGTTTCCGGCTGCGTCCCTACTTGTCTCCACAGGATACGTGTCGCTCCTGCTATACGAAGAGACAGTGGAAGCTGCTGTGGCACGAATGGACAAACGAGAGTGTATGCTCCGGTCTCCTGATGCCTGCCATCGGATGGACATCCTGCTGCATGGACAGTCTTCCTGTTGCTGGCAGGTCCCAGTATTGTGCCATACATCCATGTACATGTACATGTACTTTAGTGCACACTATAATACTGGATTGCGGCCAAGGCGACTCGATACAACTGGGAATGCCACATGCTGGGGATTGACATGTCCCGTGCGTTCGACACGATCGATCGCACCAAACTGTTAGACGTCATGGCATTAGTGACTGGCCCCGATGAAGTGCGCATGATCCAGCACCTACTGTTCCACACACAAATATCAGTGAAAGTAGGAAAGGCAACTGCCAATCCGTTTCTCAGCACCATCGGCACCCCCCAGGGAGATGGCTTGAGCCCTGTTCTTTTTATTTGTTACCTGGAGGCAGCACTGCGCCAAGTGAGAGCAAACCTTCCCGAACGCCCTTTCGCCGACCGTCACATACCCGGAGAAACAGGTTACGCCGATGATGTGACATTGTACTCAACCAGTGAGGAGTGGCTGAAGCGAAGCCTCCCCATCATTAGCGCAGAACTCGGGGATTGGTCCCTTACAGTAAACGAGACCAAGACCGAATTCTTGCATCTGACATCAACTTCAGACTCCTGGCGGTCCAGCAGGCAGCTAGGGTCCCTCATTGGCGACAGTGAGGACCTGGAGCGGAGGAAAGACCTCGCTTCGAGTGCATACGGCAGGATGTATAGCCTCTGGCTGAGGCGTGGGAAGGTCAGTGAGCAGAGGCGCATCCGCCTGTATAATGCCCTGGTTCTGCCCGTTCTTTTGTATAACTGCGGCGCATGGGGGCTCACGGCAGCACAAGCAGAATCGTTAAACGTTTTCCACCGAAAGCAGCTCCGACGGCTCATTGGCATAGTCTACCCAGCCAGGATATCAAATACTGAGCTGTATGAGAGGTGCAACACGGAACCACTATCTGACATCGTGGACAGGAGAAGATGGCAGCTAACCGGCCATATTCTCCGTATGGACAGGGATGCGCCGCCATGGATCGCGCTGACGGGCTATTTTGCGGGAGATGCCAAGGCTGGGCGTGGACGTCCAAGGACATCCATTGCGACGCGCATCACAAGCGACTTACAGAGGAGGAACATCGACTTGAAGCGCAGCAGTCAGCTGGGGAATGTGAGGGCCATCGCTCTGGACAAGCCTACATGGAGAAATCTGGCCGACAATCCATGATCTGGCGTCACAGGTCATCAGTGCGCCGTGTTAATAATTACCTTGATAATGGAATTTGATCATAGGAGATAGGACAGAAGCGGAACGTATAATTATACCCACATAATTATATTATTACGCGTGCTGTGGTATTATTATATTATTATTATTATTATTATAATACTGTACTACTACTAGGAGTGAGAAGACCTCTTGCACGGGCACAGAACACGATATCGCTGGCGCATGACAACTAGCGAAACGGCAATTTTTTTAAAGAAATACATCATAGAACGTACAGATTGAGTCATAGAACATACACGTACATGTACGTGTTAGGGCTTGGCGGATAATGCCGGCAGAATTTTCGGCAGAAAACGCCTGTTTGGGGGGTCGAGCATATTTCGGCAGAACGGGGGCTGAAAAAGCATTCTCTGCCATGTCAAATGACAATTATTGTCCAAAAAAAAAAAAAAAAAAAAAAAAAAAAAAATTAGTGAAGAGTTACGAACACAGCGTCAACCGGAAGATGGCAAATTATATCGGAAATGATAACGTTTAGAGTAGACAGAAGAAATGAACTGATAACAAATCATAAAGTAGAAGCACACCAGGTTCACACGATCTCACGGGGTCAAAAGGGGAAAGAACTGTTCTCCAAATAGGACCTGAAACCACAGCACTCTTGCTGCACTACGCTGGCACAACCCGCCAGGAACATCGCAGTTCAAAAAAACCGAACTGAATACACTATAACTATCAGGGGCGTTGTCACACACATTGTCCCACGTTAGCTGGGTAAACCGTGGCTCACCATGATCAGACGCCTACCAAACTAAACTGGATTCACACACTCGCATAAAGGAAGACTGAAGAGAACAGGGAGACTGAAGGAAGACAGGAAAGAAAATGCCATACCTGGAATCAGCGTTAGTAACCACGGCGACGGCTGGAGCTATGGCCAGTATTGGCGGAGGGCGAGCCAGGTTTTATCTTTATCTTGGTTGGGCCGGTCGCTCAGAGCGGCTAGCTCGGCGTCAGACAGATCACTCCCTCCTCGTCTTGAATCATGGTCTTCACATTGTCGATAGCATCGCTTGGCGCAACGTAAAGAGTGATGGTCTAGCCAGGAAGAGTGTTGACGAAATTCTGCATTCCACCACGGAGACGAAGTACCAAGTGAAGAGTGGGCTCCTGCTTCCGACTGCGTGCCGGCGAAAATCAAACGCTGCTGGTCTTGGGGAATACCCTCCTTGTCTTGGGCAGCAGACTGCCTGTTGTCGTCCTCATCAGCTTCGCCATCACCACCGGTAATATACATGTAGGTTGCGGGTCGCTTGGAATCGCCATCGGAGTCTCCAGTGGACGCCATGCGGAGGGAAGGGTGATCCACGCTAGCATCCTGACTGTGCTGCAAGCTAATAAGCAGGGTCAAGCCCAGGAAGGCAAGAAACATGATTCTCATCATGATTCGTCGCAGGGAGCTGCAGCGGGTTGAGCCATGGGGGTCTGGGGTCGAATCACGTTGTTTTATTTAAAACTACACCGCTGCCACCAATGTAATAGGTAGCCGAGTGGTAGGCGCGGTGCAATTAACAATAATTACTTTTATTCTACTTTCAGGTACACACCTGAGATATAATCGTTAATGAAAGAAGGAACGGCAAAATAACTGACTTTCTCTCCGGTGCTCACCTGGAGGATGAATAGCTCGTTATTATCAAAATCTCATCTTCATCAAAACAGAAATGCGCAGCCGCTTTTATGCAGCAGACGACGTACGCTTACACACGGAGATACACTAAATATACATCAGGCAAGCTCCGTATTAGTTCCGTACTGCTTCCGTATTGGTCGGGCAGGGATACTACATTACCACGGAATTGGCGTGCGACGTTCTGCTTTTGCAGCAGATTTGCCGCGTTCTTCGACACGCAGTCCATCCATCCACCAAATGTGGCCGGAACTGTTACTTTGCGGAAGGTAGCAGCCTTGAATGGCAGGCCAGTGGCAGAAGTCTACGAGTCGTAGATCTACATAATATGGCCCAGTTGCAGCGATTTTCGACCTTCGGTGAAAAAGCCCGCTGTGTGAAAAAATTCAAATCAAATCATCTTTTGCTGCGC